AAGGTGTAGAGATGATGGATGGATTTAGTTCAAAACGTCCTCAGACTGATGCACCGATGATCAGAGCAGCTGATCCTCACAGACGATAGAAAATCTCCTGCTAGCAGCGATCTGACGGATCAGTGGCCTCAACCATCTTAAATGATTAATTAGAGAAATTAAAGCGTTTAAAATTGAAGCGGCTGGATTGTTAACGAGCATCGACTGACTGTTTTCACCACAAACTATTATTTATATATGAATCAGAACCAAAGACTCAATATGGGCCTGATGCAGGTTCTTCTGTTCTCTCTTTTTGTACCTTTAGATTGTATATTTGTATATTTTTAGCTTATTATTTGTTTAGCGTACATAGTTTTTAGTACGTATAAGTTTCAACTGTGTGTTTTTATTTAATGGGGGTTTCAGTTCAGAACCAACAATAAATTAACTCTGACTGTGGTTTTTAATTCTACAGCTGATCAGTTTCAGGAGGTGACTTGTTTATCTGGAACTATCGGCGGCACAGCGTGACCAGAAACAGAACCTCCGTTACTGGCATTAAAGCCTTTCTCGTCTCCAGGTCTCAGTGAATCCTGGATCCTGGATGCAGCCTCGTCAGCGGGAACCCGGGTCGTGGATCTGCAGCTCTCCGGCTGACTCAGCCACATCCTTCACATTTCACAGATTCTCCGGCCGGTTTACGGACTTGATCACATTAAAGCGGACACGTGCTGGTCACAGGACGCAGCGACCCAATGAATTATGGATGAGGACGCGCTGAATGCAGCTGTTCAGGAGGACGTCCTGCTGGTCCTGCCCTGGACGAGGGCAGCGGGGCAGTTATCTGCCCCCTGGGGGGAGGTGAGGTGACTGGACCAGCGCTGAGTCACAGCTAAGACGTAGTCATGGACAGATAGCCGCTCCTCTGGTCAGGGAGACGACGACCGACCGATCATCACTAATTAATGACGATTAATCAGCTTCACACAAACAACTGATCGATTGATCCAGAAATCAGCTTTTGTTGGAGACATGTGACCATTTCTGCACAGTCGGTCTTTTATTTTATTACAGCAGATGTGGTGGCAAACTGTCAGCGGTTGAAGAAGGAACCCAATGATTCAGTTGATCTTTACTGTTATTGATCATCTATTAAGCACCAATAAAAACGTCTGAACTCTGGTTCAGCTCCTCCAGTCTGAAGGTTCTCTGGGTTCTTTCCTCTGTGACACTAAACTGGACCTCTCTGGACTGAACAGGACGTTTGAGGAAACTCTGATCCACGTGTTCTGACATTTTAAAGACCAAACAACTGATTGATTGATCTAGAAACTAATCGGCCCAGATTGGAACCCGCTGAAGTCATCGACACTGAGGCCACGTTCACACGTAGCCGGTATTCACCAAAACGGATCCACGTTTTCATAAATAACCCGGTTCTCACCACAAATCCGCATCAACACGTGGTTCAGAGCTGCTATGAGCTGCCAGACCTACAGGGGGCAGTGTAACAAGAAGCATAAAGCCATGCTAGCCAATCAGAATCCTGGAAAAACCACAACAACGACCACTTCCTGTTCCTTCAACGATAATGGGGTGGTTAGTTTGGACCGACGGAGACGTGGAGCTGCTCCGACATGTGCTGTCAGAGACACAACAAGCAAACGCTGGAAACATGTCAGTCCTTATATGGTAAACATGGTCGCACACGTATGACGCTTTAGTCGCTCACTGTGACGTCAGACTCCGCCTCCTCCCGTCTGCATGCAGACGTACAGATGGAGTTTTCAGATGTGATGGTTTTCGGCGACTCGTAGCTTCGTCTACGTGTCAACCAAAGACTCGTGGAGGTGTCAGCGTCCGGCTGTGTGTAGACGAGGACTCAACTCCAGTCAGTCTGACGTAATTAAAGGAACAAACAAACCGTCATGAACTGATCCTCTGAGTCACGCTGAGCTGCTCGTCTGTTTCATTAACATCTTTGTTTTCAGCTGCAGTTTGAAAGACTTAAAGAAGCGACCGACGACCGTTCTTCACTTCGGACAGATTCATGAACCTGATCGTCCTGAGTGTTCGTCCACATGGAGCTGCTCTGATGTTTGGTCACATTGGTAAAGTGTGGAGCCAGAAAATAATTCACAAAATTCACATTGAAGCAGCTGCAGTCACAGAATTCAGACGTTTTACCTTAAAACCAATCAAACCAACGACCAGAACAGTTGGAGACAAATTTAAAAGTTGAACTAATCGATTGATCATCATGAGAAGAACCAACCTCCAGAGTTTAGCTGAACTCAGTGTTTCTGGTGAGACTGTTGGTCACCGCTGACTCACTCAGTCACGTCACAAAGTCCAGAAGTTCTGGTTCAACAGAACAGTTCATCTCTGGATAATAAAGTGAGTTTGATGAAACATCTCAACTTTAGGCTCAGATTTGTCTTTTTTTTTTTATTCTGACATTGAAGAAGCTGAATTTAGACTTTTTGTCTTAAAAAGTTCCTCAGACTGATGAACGTTATCAGAGCAGCTGCTGATTGGTTTAATGGTTGACGACTAATCGGTTAATCGTTGCTCTGATGAGGCTCATCGTGGTTCCGGCCTCTGATGGGGCCTGGGTCGGTCCTGGAGAGCTTCCTGCTGACTCCAGCAACTTTAATCAACTGAATCTGGACTTTTCTGCTGTTTTTAGACTCTGTGCTGCTGGAGCTTCTCAACTCCTGCGTCCTGGTGAAGTGTGTGTGTGTGTGTGTGTGTGTGTGTATGTGTGTGTTTGTGAGCTGCGGTGAGAATGTGGCCCTCCGCCGCTGAACAAACTTTCCTGGAGCCACCTTTGGTCTCTCAGCGCCGTTAAATGTGCTTTTTGGGGTTTTGTGCTGTTCGGAACGCGTCCGGGCCTGTTGGGTACCGGGCCTGGTGGGTACCGGGCCTGGTGGGCACCGGGCCGCTCCGTGGTGCGTCATGACGTGAGGACGCGCAGCGTGCGTCTGCCGCAAACACTCAATAAGCGAACAACGACATGAAAGTGAGCGTTTCTTACTTTGGTGTTTGTCTTCTCGGTGCCCGGAGTGAGAATCAGCGCTCCGGCCGACAGTTGAAGCCGCCCGTCGGGGTCTCGGTGCTCCGGCGGCTCCGGCCGCCAGATAACGGTCCGCGGGCTGCGAGGCGCTCAGTGTCCGGCGTCAGCGTCCGGACCGAGCTTTACATGTTTCCATGGAGCACAAAGTGTTTTCCTCCGGCTGCAAAGTCGCTACAGATGTGGAGGAGGACGTGGATGCTGCAGTGCGGCGGACGCGGCTCCGGTTCTCCTCCGCGGCCCTTCTTCTCTCCGCGGCGTCGAGCTCCGGACGGGTCTCCTCCTGCTGCTCCGTGCGTCCCGGGAGGCGGCGGCGGGGTCTGCGAGGGTGTGTGGCCGGAGAGAGGCGCGGGTCGGCCGGCAGCGGAGCGCACTGAGGGCGGAGGGGGAGGAGGAGGCTCGGATAACGGAGGAGGAGGGACGCCGTGACGTCCGGAGCGCACGAGGAGCGTCACCGCGGGCTGACACACATCCGGAGGAAAAGTTGAGTCCATCCGTGTTCCTGGATCAGGGTCCGGCCCAGCAGCAGCTCTGATTCCTCCACGTGGTGGATCTCTGGACCATCAGCTGAACTTGTCTGAATCAGCAGAACTTCAGACCTTCAGCAGCTCCTCAGATGTTCCTCAAACAGCCTCAAGTTCCTCTGAGAGAAGAACTCTTAAAAGATGAGCCCAGAAAGTCTGGGACTCATCAAACTGGTCCAAAGTGAGACTACATCTGTAAATAAGAAGAAAAGGAGAAAGAATCCACGTGTGTCTGAACGTACATGAAGCTCGGTTCCTCATCACAGGTTACTGATCCACTCCTGGTTCTGATCCATGAGAAACAACATTTCAGGTTCTGTCTGTAATAGTTCCTGAGAAAAGTTTCATGTAGTTTTTAACAGCAGCTGTTTGTTTGTTTGTTTGTTTGTTTGTTTGCAGATTTTGGTTCGTTTTATTTACAATTTTAATCCGTTGTCAAAACAAACAACAACAAAAACAGGAACCTGCTGAAGTTGGCGGATCCACAGTAAAGCTGGAGAGGATCTCATACATGGAGCTCAAATGATGAACTGTTTTTGTTCAGTCTTCAGTCAGACGTGGTTCTGGACACGATGGAGCTTCAGGATGTAAAATGCAGCCGAGTGTGAAACAGCAGAAAGCAGCTGATAAAGATGGAACATGATGATGTGTGCCGTAGTTTAAAGAAAAAATGATTCAGGATTTAAAAAATGTGAAATAATTCTGTTATTTCACAGATTTGTCCTGTTTTGGTGAATTAAACATGAAATCAGTAAAATCACAGAAATCAGGACGACTGCTGTCAGAGAAACAAATCAGTCTGATTTCTACAAACCATGCTGTGATCTTTATCATCATATTAGATCGCTTCAGACACACTCGTGTTTTTGGAGTTGTCACAGCGTTTCTGTGGGTTCAGCGTCTGAACTCAGGGTCTTTGGGTCGAGGACAGAACACGACGTTTGAAACACTCATCAGCAGGTCTCATAACAAAAACTAACCCATGAGTCCAGAAAATAACCAAGTTGCAGCTCGACTTTCACCAAAACCTGCACGTATTTGATCTTCTCTTGCACCAGACGTGGTTCTGGAGGTCTGCAGGTCTCTGAACTGGTCTCGGTCCAGATTAGAACTCATGCTGCAGCTGCACACGGACGGTTTTGGTTCTCCTGGTTTTCCAGATGATAGATAATAATCCTGTTCTTAGACAGTAAATATGATCCAGAAGGTGAAGACGGGTCGCTCAGTGAAGCCCACTGGGTCACTGATACCGACACATGAGGAACCTGCAGCTTCTCGCTCACCTTTAATAAACTTCAGTCTGTGTTTCTAAACTCTGGTTTCTGTGAATGTTTGCCAGAGTCAGTGAACGCCTCGTGGACTCGCTCCTCAGTGGAACAGAATCTGTTTGTTTTTCCTGTTTTCACCACATTTTAATATGAAGTGATTTTATTTGAGCAGCAGGTTTCTTCTGGCTGGAAATGACACGAACACGTGACAGTGAACAAGCTCTTCCATTCATTTGACCACTTTCAGCGTTTTCTTCCTGCTCTTGTTTGCTGTCGGATCAGATGAAGCTGTGAGGAGACGCAGTGATGCAGCTTCTGTTTGGACACAAAGTAAACTCAGTGAAGACGACATAGAACCGGGTCAAACTCACCAGAACATCTCCAACAGAAGAAACCTGTTGGACAAATAAAAGCTCACGATGAATCACAACGAGCATCGATGTTTAAGTGTCAGAACAAAGCCAGGATTCCTGCACGTGTTCTGATAAGATGAGCAGCAGGTAAAGACTCCAGCATGGATCAGGTTCAGGCTTTACGGTTCCATACATTTCTTGTTATACACTTTGTTTACTTTGTTTACCAAAAACAACAACAACAACAACAAACCAAACAACTCGTGTCCACAGAAGTCCTCTATCACAGGTTAGTAGTTCAGAATCATCTTCACCATCTGCACCACGCTGTTCAGTTCTCTCACCTGTTTGTGTCTTTTCCAGCCAACAGGAGTCTGCTGGTCCAATGAGTGCTGGACCAGTCCAACGAGTGCTGGACCAGTCCAACGAGTGCTGGACCAGTCCAGCTCTGCATCTGGTTGGTCCACATCCAGCAAACAGTCCCAGAACAATAAAGATTCTCTATAAACCAGAACGTAGCATGAATGTGAAGACGTCTGGCTTCAACCAGCAGAACACTTCCTGATCATTTTCTTATTTATTCTTATATACGGAGCACTGATGCGTATCAGAGGTCGTCCACGTGGGTCCAGAACCGAGCACGGCGCTGCTGTTGCTCATTTATGTGGCTGGATGCTGGAGGACGACTGGAGATGTTTGGCGGCGCTGATCCATGTTGGGTGAAGATGTGTAAACTGTTCTCGGTCTTGTTTTTCTTTTTTTGGTTTATTTGTTCTTTTGTTTATTTGTTTGTTTGTTTGTTTTCTGACACTGTAAAGACAAGGCAGAACTGGATCAGCTGTTCCTTCTCAAACTAGATAAAAGCTGACGTCTGTGTTCACATCAGATCATTTCTGGTTTTTGTTTCGTTCTCTTTTATTGAGTGTTGTACTTGAATTCTCTTATGTATTATAGAGGCATTGCTGATTCTGTATTCATGTATATATATATATATATACATATATATATATATGTAGATTGAGATAAATAAAGTGAACTAAACTAAACAACCTTCCCTGAACTTATTTCAACAAGAAGTCAGCTGGTGGTTTATTCTCACACTGACTGAGCTGAAATGTTAAAACACAGCAAAGATTAAAGCGTTTTTAATTTGATTTGATGAATGTTGACCATTTATATACATATATATATATATTTACACATTGACTAACTTTAATGTGTTTACCAAACAAAAGCGACCAAAGAACTGATAACCGAGGACCCTTCTAGAGACAAAAATAAAAGAAGAACGAATCACCGTTAACGTTTTGAACAAAGTGTTTACTGTTGGTCGAATAAATGATCAGTGGAATCTGGATCTGAGCTGCTTTAACCTTCAGTCATATATATGAAACCTGTGATGCATTTTCTATCCATCAGGTTCAGGGATGTTGTTGTTTTGTCCTGAGAGCCTGAAGCTAAGCTGCATGACGCTGAACCTTCGTGGACGACGGTTTACTGGAAAATGTCTGCAGAGATAAAACAACCTTTAATGCTGCTGATAAATCCGGTCGCCTCCCCAACAAGCCCAGGAGATAAGGAGCAGAGCAGCTTCATGTGGCTGGAGGAGCTCCTCCGTCTTCTTCTCTGATCATGAGTGCTGACTCTGCCCCCTTGTGGCCACAGGATGGAAGCACAACCAGCATCATGTCAACACAAACAAACAAACAAGCGGCTGAAGGAACCACATGGGCACGCTCAGTAATGATACTTTTTATTTAAACTTAAAAAGAGAGTGGATCAAAAACAGGATTCAATAAATTAGAAATAAATATAATCGCTGTAATAATTAATAATACATACATATTATAATTACTCGATTGCAGGAGTCTGACAGAAACAGGCCTCCAAGGTGGTTCCTCTAGAAAAGTCTAAAATCAAAATATGTGTAACCCCGACTCAAACCCCCCATAAACAAAATAATTGATAAATAAATAAAAAATAGCTCAAATATTAAAACCTCCCGAATAAAAGTGCGCCCCCTCCCCCCTCCCCGCCCCCCGTGGTTCACCTAAAATCTAAAGTAGAAATTTAAAATAGGTTAGTGATTTCTTCCCATTTTACAATTTGGAATGTAATATCCTTTGTATGAAGATGATGATGTTACTAGTGGTAATAATAATAATAATAATAATAATAATAATAATAATAATAATAATAATAATAATGTCGATGTGTCCTGTCCAGTGTTTATCTAAAGTAGTATTCTTTTTGCATTTTTTCTCGTTTTTTAAATGCTGCTCTTTGTAAACTAAACTATGTACAGGTCATTAGGATCTCCTCCAGTCTCTCTAAACCTACTCGTTTTTGTATTTTCTTTCTGTTTTTTTCCGTTTTTTATTATGAAACATCGGTCCCTCTATATTGGTCATGTGACAGACGTGGTCCGTCCGTCCCACTGATACATCGGCTGCCTCCGCTCGACGCTCTGAGTTGTCGTTGCTCTACTAAAACACCCTGTTCCACAAGTTCTCGGCTGTGTGGGTTGACGGACTCGTGTGTGTTTGCAGGTGTGTGTTTGTGCGGTTTATGTACATATTCTGAGGTGTTGAGTGTGTGTCGTGTGTTTGGATGCACTCCGCGGACGCTCACAGGTAGCAGACAGTCTGAAAAGCACAATGAACCCTGGGGCTTCCACCTCGGCTGGACTCTGATCGGTCACCTGTGGAGGAGGGGAGTCGGAGGGCAGGGGGAGGAAGAAGAGAAGGACGGAGCAGACGTTAGAGTCTCAGAGACACCCGGCGTCCGAGCTTCTGTCCAACAGTCCTGTCAAACAAACAAGGCTCCTCTGTAGCTGCAGCTACCGTCAACACGCTCTCAGCAGCGACCGCTCAGGTCTGGGATGCTCCTACAGCTGGACTCTGGCTCAGGTGCTGGTGTTAACCCTGTGAACCCCAGAACCCTCCGACGGCTTGGAAAGCAAACAAACAGAAGGACTGCTCTGATGTTCAGCTTTCTGAATGTAAACCTAAAGTCATGATGTTCCGTCAGAACCTCTTCATTCTACACATCTCCACTAACAACATGAACTAGATTCTGCAAAAACAAAACATTCTGTGTTCAAGTTCTCAACGGGTTCTCCATGAATCAGCTGTGACCAACAGGCATGTGAGAGAAGAATAAAACTGAGCTGCAGCTCAGAGAGGAACATCCAACCTCCTGGATCAATGAGTAGATGCAGCATGGATCAGAACCAGAGACCAGAGGAGCCAGCTGGTGGAGATACATTCAGCTGATAGAGGAACATCTTTCTACTGATGGTGGAACATCTTCCTACTGATGGTGGAACATCTTTCTACTGATGGTGGAACATCTTTCTACATCTGATGGTGGAACATCTTTCTACATCTGATGGTGGAACATCATGCTGAATGTATCTCCACCAACTGGCTCCTCTGGTCTCTGGTTCTGATCCGTGCTGCATCTATCCATTGATCCAGTAGGATGGATTCTCCTTCAGCCTCTCTGAGGAAACTCTGGCTGCAGCTCACCTGAAGCTCTCTGGATGTTTCCTGTTGGTCAGCTGGGTCGGTGGTGGAGGATCAATAGATTCTGAGGAGCTCAGAATCAGTTTTATTATTATTTTTACAGAATCTGATGGAAAACATTTATTTTTGGTGAATTTTAAAAGGAGCCATGAAGAATGAAGTAATTCTGTGGAAACCATCCCGGTCCTCGGCTCTGATGTGACTGTTTTTCATCACACATGATGCGTTTGTGAACAATCGGAAAGCTGAGAATCGTTCTACTCTTTCTGGTGATGTGTTTTGTTAACTGCTCGTCTGTGGCGTCCTGTTCTGTCGGAAAAGTGACCCAAATCAAAATCACTTTATTCTACATGTCTGGTTTAAAAACTAACCAAAAACAAACAGTTTGTTCTGTAAAAACTCAACAATCTGCTCGGCTCAGTGACGAAGCCGTCGTCGGCTGAGCTGTGACCAACAGTCACCAGAACTCAGAGACTTTTTAGTTGCAGCAGAACAAACTAAACGTGTGAATACGTTAACGTCTGCAGCATGTGCAGCCACAGTTTGGAAAAACGTTGGACCAGTTTTTCAGGGTTTTTTGCAATTTGTTATCGTAAAATAAATGATTAAAGAAAAGCATCTTGGTCACGGTTGTGCTGCTCAGCGCTCCACGTCGCAGTTAAAACGTGACGGGAGCAAATGAAAGAAAGGAGCAGAAGCTGCTGCCTGGAGTTCAGAGGGTTAAAACGGGAAGGCGTCATTCACAGCTGTGGTGTCTGTCGGCAGCAGAGGTCATGGTGCTTCAACACATACAAACACAGTGTCTGGGTCATGCAGCTGGATACAGTGAGGCTCGCCCTCCTGGTGTGTGTCTGCAGGTCGGCCGTGTGTGCGTCTGAAGGTGTGCAGACTCTGGGCCGGTGTGTGCGTCCTGATGAACGTGTGCCTCGATCATGGCAAGCAAACACTACTACCAGCATGCATCACTCTCTGGCATTTGCAGTATAGAAATTCTGGGTGAGAGTTTGTGCGGTGCAGCTCGGGGGCTTCGTTCTATCCACAAGGATTCGTTACGTAAAGGTTTGGCTGCAAATAGAAGCAGAATCCTTTATTTATGGCGTGCGCTGCCGTCGGCCGGCGCCTCCACACACCGAGCCGACGGCAGCGACACGTTTCCTCCTCTTTGGCTTTGTGGAGGCTCAAATTTACCTCAGACTTGAAGGGACCCTGTGTTTGTCTGCTACGGTTCTCCCAGAATTCCTATAGTTGAAGGCTGTTCTCCAATAAGCAAGAGGCACTTGTTTTTCCACCATGACAACCACATACCCTTTACCTCAAAACACGAGCTAGAGGGACAGAGAGAGGAGCTGGGATGGAGAGGTGAGTCCGACAGAAGAGGAGGAGATAGAGGAGGCTGGAGGAGGAGGAGGAGGAGGAGGTGAGGGGAGAAGGGGAGGAAACACCACAGAGGCAGTAATAGAGAACATAAAAAAAACCAAGAGAGAGAAAAACCAAGGAGCAAAAAACTAAAGTGCCACATCAAACAGTGTCATCAGTCACAGTCCAGGATTATAAACTCAGCCTATCAGAGTACAGCTCAACAGAATGCATGCTCGCCCAAAATACGGTGTGCTTTGGTCGCTGGTTTAACCCCGTGAACCCGAAACCCGCCGCCAGCTTTAAAAAAAAAATTACATCTGAACTGAAACTGAAAGATTCTCCTGTTTCTGATGGTCCGTGAACACATCACAGTAAGGAGAAATAGTCCAAAATACGCCTAAAATAATATTACAATATTGTTTAAAAATAAACCGTTTGCATCCAGTGGATTCTGTAAAAACCTCCAAATTCTGAGAAGATGTGAAGCTAAAAGTGGTTCAGCTGGAATAAACGTTCACGCAACAAAAATTCTGAGAGACCTGGAAATATGTCGGACAAATTTTACGTGATTTATTATTTTTTTTAATGATTTATGGCATTACATCTTCTGTAAGAGAAGGTGTAACTCAGTGTCACCAACAGTTAGAAAGTTTTAGGTTGAGCTGCAGGTCGTGTCGACACAGAGATAAAACAGGAAAACAAAATGTGAGCAGTTCAACATGTATGTAAAATGTGGAGTCACGATTATTCCCAGTGTTGGTAAAACGTGTAGAAACATGGAAACATGCTGATTCCAGGTTTTTTATTTTTAAAGCTTCTGTAAAATAAATGTAGAGTTCATTTGCAAAAACAGACAGAAAACGCCACGTTTCCATCGTCTACCTGAGACAGCATCAGTCAAACTCAGGTTCTCTCTGTTCTTGTCGTTCAGCTTCAGGTTGATCGATGTCGTCTCAAGCAAACAAACAAACAAAACAAGTTTTCTGAAAATCTACAAAAATGAGATTCTCTGTTTCTGCAAATGAACTCTTCAAATACTGAAAGAAAATCTTCTTTTTTCCAGATTGCTGACAGAAGACTTCTGAGTTTTCTCTCTGTTCTGCTTGTTGTTTCCACAGCGAGCAAAAAAACACACGAGCGAGTGAAACCGAAGCCGCTCAGGGTTCACGGGGTTAAAACCTCGTCTGTCTCCTCCTGAAGCCCCGGCCGTGGCCATGTTGTGAATCCTTCGCGCCGCTGGGTGTGAAACGTGTCGTGTCCTGCCGCTGTGTGGTGCAGAGCTGAACAGTGTGAGCTGCTGTTTGCTGCTCTACGTTTGTCCACCAGCTGGCTATGGAAACCTCCGGACGCCTCTGAACAGACCACAGCACGACCAGGTTTGTCTCCTGCGTTACACACTAGAGTGTAGCACAGACACAGATGTACACAGAGATGCCCACCAGCACTACTGGACCCAAACAGCTGGTTCAAATAATAATGACACCAAACAGAACACTACAGAAACTGATCAAAAACAAAGCTGCGAAAAAGTAACGGGCGCTGCTACAGAATTTATCAGGTTACTGTGTATAGAGGGTTAATATGGTATCAGGTGTCCAATCAGATGGTTGATTCTGAGTGCAGTCCTGGCTATTGACAGTTATTGATCAGTATGTGCACAGGTCAATACAAAATAAAGTCACAATGCACCAAACACAGTCTGTGGTCACTACAGCAACAGGACATGCAGGTCAACGCATGGCTGGTTGCTCGAGGTGACAGAACAAAAATTGCCAAGGGCAACCAACACAGGCAATCAATCGCCACAGCAACCCAAACACAGGCCAACCAATCAACTTACAACAATGCGAGAGGAAGGGGGGGTCGGGGCTTTATCGGTCACTAGGCAACCATTGCCATAGCGATGTGGGTGTCCTCGAGAATTATGATTGGACGGAAGGATCTTGGGTGAGGTAAGTTGCCGTTTCAGGAAAAGATCAAAACAGCAGGAAAGAAAATAAATAAGATTGTGAAAGAAAATAAAAAAAGGAAAACAATATTTTAGTATTTTCACTTTTCCTGAGATGATTAAGTTGTTTCTAACCCAAAGCACATTGACTGACATGTTAAGCTATCATCATACTGTCAAATCTACGCTGCTGCTGCTCCAACATACTGAAGCTCTGACTCTGTCCACCTCCTCACCTCTCTGTAGTCGCTGCTCCTCCTGTCGGGCGGCGCTCAGTACGGGCGGTTGGCGTCTTTGGGCCGCTTCAGCTGCACTTTCAGTCTTTTCATGCCGATCTGGAACCCGTTCATGGCCTGGATGGCGGCCTGAGCGCTGGCCGGGTTGTCAAAACTCACGAAACCTGAAACCAAAGAACTCGCGTTTCACTTTCTGTCACGTCAAGTGGCTTCTTTATCTGCTGAACTTCGTCCGGTTCTTCCTGGACGCATTTGGCTTTAACAATGAACTCGGTGATCGGTCTCCTGTTGTTTTAAATATAACTTAAATTCATTTATTAATTGAGGTGACATCAGTCTCTGAGCACGTAGACGACTGTTTGGGAAACTCCTTCCATTTTCTTATCTAGTCCCGAATTTGCCCCGAAAATGTCAGAAAATGTAAACTTTTGCAATAAATGACCGACTGTGTACACCAGGAGGATGGAAAACTGGATTAGCTAACATGCTAACAGGCTAGTCAGTAAAGCACGGTACATACGTCCTGCAGCTACATTTCATCTTCATTTCATTTTTCAGGTGCACCATTTCATTTCATGTGAGATGATGTATTATTTCAGGATAACTACGTTTCACATCTACTCCAGTCTTATGTTATTTCAGGAATGTTTCGTACTTTTATCTTGTTGCTTTTCTTCTTCTCAGATGCTGCATTTCTGATGTTATGTCACTAATTTATTTTCTAAGCAACATGTGGCCCATAAAATTCCGTCGGGATGAATAAAGTAGAACTTTATCTTATCTTAAAATATTATAATAATGAGATGCATTTCCTTGTGTTGAACACCAGGGGGTGCAGTCCACATGTTAAACGTATTTAGGGACATGAAGAAAAACTATGTGGAAGCAAAGCAACACATTCGTTTTAGTTTATTTCTGTGGTTTTAATGGTAAATTATGCCCTGCGTACCTTGATAAAGTGGTTAAATTCAGATTACACGTATTTTCTTCTGGTCTTTACTGAAAATAGGTCAGAAAATTAGCAGTTGGAATAAATTTTCATACATCCTGTGACCAAATATTTGACCAAACTGGCTCCAGATGTGGCAGAAAAACCTTCCGACTTATTTCTTGGTTCTGGTAGAGGCAGTGATGCTTCGTGAACACCAGGGGGCGTCGCCTGTTTACTGGACGGATTTACGGACATGAAGAAAAACGATGTGGAAACACGGCGCTGTGCTCACTTATTATTATTTATACGTGTAAACTCCCTTATTTGTGTGACTTTAGGTTAAAATTATGACCTGTGGACTTTGACAAAGTGGTTAAATTCATAATTCAACCTACTTTCTGCAGGTTTTTATCACAAATAGGTCATTATATTTATCATTTGGGATAATTTTCAGCCCTCCGTCCTCTGATACCCTGTCCTCCCCCGTCCTCCCCCGTCCTCCCCCGTCTGGGTCGCTCACCGAAGCACTTGCTCTGGTTGGTGGCTCGGTCCACAAACACCTTCGCCGAGATGACATTGCCAAAGGGCAGGAACATCTGCAGCATCTCGGAGTCGCTGAACTCCTGAGGCAGGTGGTAGATGAAGATGTTGCAGCCCTCCGGACCTGAGACACACGAGGCAGAGCGTGATGAATGTGGCGGCGCTGATAAACAACCTGAAAGGAGCTGAGAGCAGGAGAGGGGCGTGGCCCCAGCCAGACGGGAAGTCGCTTCACCTTCTCTCTGCTGCTGTTGCTGGGGCTGCTGGTGTTGCTGGGCAACCAGCGTGGGCTGCTGGGGGAACGGCTGGCCGACCAATCCGTAGGCAGCAGGGTACGCCGCTATTGGGGGAGACAGACAGCAACAAAAGCCTGATTGGGTGAAAACAACAGGTGGCAACATGCAGAGTCCAATCAGCGCAGCCCCAACGTCTCCTGCTGAAGGTGAAAACTATTAACTGCAACAACTGAATGAAGAAGCTAAACAATGACGCTGTTGATGTGCGAGCGGCCGGACTCCCGGGCCATGAATCACGATGACGTAAAGGTGCGCTAACCTGTATTACATTACAGCAGCCTCCCGTGTCCCGGAGAAATCAGATAACTCACAACAGAATTAATTCCATCAAATTGCCCTTGAAATATTTTCATCCTCCAGCGTCTGAGAGCAGACACATGGCCGTCCTTGTTGCCCATTTACAAGTGGACGTCTCCATCCAGCCTCCGGCCTGAGCTGCCTGCTAACAGCACGCCTCAATATGGATCAGACACGAGCAGCAGCGGCCCGTTTACATTTACTACCGACACACACGCTGAACGTCTGAGGATCAGACTGGGTTTGGACGGTGCAGATGTGCAGCAGGTCTGATCTCCACCGTCTCACATCTACTCTATATTAGACCTGCACTCAGGTCCAGTTTAAACCTCAACGGTACGTTTGGAAGGCAGCTACCTTCAAGAACCACACCATTAACAGAACCACAAACTGAGACAAAGTGGGTCTTTGATTTATCAGCTAGAAACTGTAAAACAGAGAACCATCAGATTTTCAACTTTCCAACAACACGAGAATTTATCGTCTGTTGAAAAACGTTAACGTCTCGATGAAACGGAACCGTGCAGACGTGAAGTTCTGTTAAAGGAGGCTGACCAAATCCAAGCTCAGAACTACATCCATCCATCATCTCTACACCTTCATCCTCACCAGGGTCATGGGGGGGCGGAGTCTATCCCAGCTGACTCAGGGTGAAGGCAGGTTCACCTGGACAGGTAACCAGTCTATCACAGGGCTACACTTAGAGACAGACAACCAAGCACACTCACATTCACACCTACGGACAATTTACAATCACCAATTAACCTCAGCATGTTTCTGGACTGTGGGAGGAAGCCGGAGAACCCGGAGAGAACCCACGCTGCACGGGGAGAACATGGAGACTCCACGCAGGAAGATCCCGGGTGTCCTCACCGGGACGCCAACCGGAGACCTTCTAGCTGTGAGGCCACGGTGCTAACCACTGATCCACCTGCAGGCCTGGTTCTAGAACTGTAAATAGAAACATCTATACCATGTGGAACCAATGTTTTTTGGTCGGAACACACTGATTCCAGGTTTCTACAGTTCTTGTAAATGTAATAATCAAAGAAAGTAAACTTTTCTTTTGGTCTCCGTGGTTCTGACTGAGTCCTGCTGACAGAAGACGTCTCTGGGTTCTGTCTCCTCCTTCATGTTCTGGTTCCACAGAGCTGCAGGACTTTGTGTTGCACAGAAACATGAACCTCAGTGAAGGACCATGAGACAGGAGCTGCTGCTTGGACTTGAGAGGGTCACAACATGTAAGGGTCCAGAGGTTGGGTGATGGTCTGCACTGACCTGTGTAGTGCTGCATGCCAGCGTAGGCCTGCTGCAGAGGGTCCAAGGCTGCTGCCGGACTCTGAGCTGCAGAAGGTAGAAATAAAACCGGTGAGGATGAAAAACACCAGACGAGCAGGACTCCTACTGGGTTTGTGCTCACACACCTTGATATGGGTGGACCCCGTTGGTGTATAGTGTTTCCGTCTGCTGGCCGTTGGTGGGAGCTGCAACGCTGCTGTAGCCGTTCACTCCGATTGGTGGAGGCAGAGCTGGAACAGGTGTGGCTGCAATAGTAGGCGGAGTGTTGGTACCTGCAGACAGACCCGCAGGGAATCAGTCCTGCTGCTGGACATCATCTGAGCAGCTTTCTTACTGTTCTGCCTTTAACAGCACAACTAAAGACTTTAACGTCGTGACAAGCAGCGAGTCACGGTTCCTCTCACAACAAAGACACGAGCTGCATCTCAAACATCCTCAAATGTTCAAAGTTCTTCACTTTACTGTCACAGAGGAAAGAAACCAGAAAAGATTCACTGAAGAAGCTGAAACCAGAGTTTAGATGAAAAAACTACACAAACCGACTAACTGATGATCAGACTGGTTGATTATTAACTCACCAGCAACTGATAAAACTTATAAGATTTTAAAATTACATTTAGGCACTGATGCACAGAAAAATTAGATCAACAATAAATAGATTGGATAGAAGCTATAAAAACAGCAAAGAAACAACCTGTGATAAATAAACAGTGATTAAATACTAGACGGTTAGAAAACACCACGGAGGAGTCAAACTGACGGCAACACGTTTTCAGTAAATGTTCTGGATGGATCGATCAGCTGTTTGGTTCTAAAACATGCATCAGTTTCCTCAGACGTCCTGTTTAGTCCAAAGATGTTCAGTTTACTGTCACACGGGAAAGAAACCAGAAATCACTCCGACTGAAGGAGCCAGAGTTCAGATCAGTCTACCAGACCACCGCTAACCGACCCGCCTCAACCTACCCGAGGACGGCGTGATGGGCGTGATGGGCGTGGCGATGATCCCGTTGGCGTTGAGCGCCGCCATCTGCTGCATCTGCACGGCGGCGACCGTTGCCACGGGAGACAAGTACGCCGACTGAGCGACCAGAGCCTGCTGCTGGACGAGCTGCAGGCGGGGAAGGAAGCGAGAGGGGGAGGACAAAGAGACGGTCGCAGGGATGTGGCAAAGAGAGGGAGAGGAAGAAGAAAAATGAGGGGAAGGAGCAGCGATGGAGGAACAGATGAATAGAGATCTAATTAGGAGGCCATTATGTCCTGAGTCAGTGGGTTAATGGTTGTGTGTTGCGGGAAGGCGAATGCCAGATGACGTATGTTCTGTTGTCTGGGTAATAACATTAGCCCCAATTAGAGCTCTGATAGCCTCTTCAGACTTATTACATCCTTTCATGAGCCAGCGCTGCTCGCTGAGGGCTCGCCTCTGGCCTTGCCTGTGCGTTGACGGCCTGAGTGTAGGCGTTGTAGGCGGGGAAGTTCAGGGTCATGGGGCTGAAGATGCCGAGCTGGGAGGCGACCTGCTGCATCCTCCGGAGGCCTCGCTCCTTCTCCGTGTCGGCGAACTTCACCACCAGGCTGGACGAGGCGCCCTGAGAGGAGAAACAGGCGACGTGAGGACACACCTTACTGTAATCAGATTACCTCCAGGCTGTCCACACACTGACAGCTCAGAGGTCCTTCAGTAGAAAGTCAGACTTCTGGAAGTCATGGAAACTCAGCTGGAAACAACGATAGGTACTGAAGTACAGGAGGAAGTTTAGCTTTTACCTTCGAAAATATCCTCGTGAGAGATTCAGAGAAATGCAGTAAACTGTCCATTTATCTGCACATATGTGTAGTAAACACACATATGTGTAGTAAACACACATATGTGTGCAGTAAACACACAGCAGGAGCTGCTCCACACTGCCCAACATGGAAGACGACGTTAGGGACAAGATTTCACTGCCTTTGGGATGATTCAGCGCTCTGGCTGAGGTTAGTGTGGTGATACAGCCCAGTCCACTGTTCTGTCTGCTGGGATGTGTCCCTCAATCATTACGATCACAGAAGAACACTGAACATGTTCTGCTCATGTTCTGCTGAAGGCTGTTCTGACCAAATGGGCAGAAAGTTTTCAGTTATTCAGAGAAGTCTTAAGTCATTTTGGACCATTTTTAACTAACTTTTGATTAAATTTGAGTCAAGTTTCAATCGTTGTGGACATGCTTTGAGTCATTCTGGACATTCTGGTTTCTGTTCTGCTGTAGACGCTCTTGATGATGTTGTTCTCTGGATGTTCTCCTGCTGGAATGTTCCTCTTCTTCATCTGGTCAGCCAGTATCCTGGTTCATCCTCAGACCTTCATGGAGCTTCTAGAACCTTCATCAACACCTTCTGCCCTCATGCAGCCCCACATCATGATGCTGCCACCTCCGTGCTTCACTGTCAGGACCATGCATCCACTGTGGTGGTCCTGGTCAGGTTCACACCAAACATCTGGACTCCATGTGAGCCCAACACATTGATCTCCATCTGACCAGAGGATGTTCTCCAGCATCCATCAGGCTTCTGTTCATGTTCTCTGGTGAACTTTGATGTGGAAGTTTAGCTGTGAGCAGCAGCCAGGTTTAGTTCTGCTCCTCCGTCCATAGAGGCTGATGTTCTGAAGTGTCCTTCACACTGTGTGAGCTTCACACTAACTCTGGTCTCCATTGATCAGCCCTGTGCCAAGTCTGAAGCAGCTGCCTTTGTCTGGTGTCCACAGCTCCATAGTGACAGTAGTTGACTGTCCGTGGAGTCATTGTAGGAGGACGACCACTGCAGCCCTGATCAGTGCTGCTGTGGCTCCTTCTGGACCTCCTGGTTCCTGCTCACACTGGGCTGCACTGGGTTCTAGCTGCTCACTGATCTTCTGGATCCTTTTCCATCTTTGTCCAGTCTCTCAGTCAGATGTTTCTCCTCCTCTGTTCAGGTCTTCTCCATGTGGAGCCATGATGCAGACATAGACACAGTCCAGAGGTCCAGAACTGAGAAGGTTCTGCTGCTCTCAGCTCGTTGTAGAATGAGCCTTTCACTTTTGTCCCCTCAGGGTTCTACTGTAGGACCTTCATCTTCAATGTAGTCTTTATCTCTGATAGTTTCCAGGAGGAATCTTGTTCCTCGTAGCAGTGATGTCGTTACTGAGAGGTGATGCGATCTCAAATGATTTCACATTTCAGTGATGCTGCACTCGTGTCTGCAGTAGTTCATGTTTGGACCTTGGCTACATGTCTGTTTATTCATTCATTCATCAGGCTGATACACATTTATATCACATCATTACCAGCAGGAAGGTTCCCACTCACAGCAGTGTCCGGGCTACTTACGGGCATTGTGCGGCTGCCGTGCAGGCTGTTGATGGCAGCTTGGGCCTCGGCGTGTCCTTGGAACTTCACGAAGGCGCAGCCTGCAACCAAACATTGAATTACAAAGTGCTGCTGAATGAAATCAGGTACTTTGTCTTGTCTTATTTGTGCATTCTGCTTGCATTCTACCTTTGCTGGTGCCGTCAGGTCCTCTCAGCACAGTGCACTCATCTATGCTGCCGAAGGGCTCGAACAGCCTCCTAACGTCCTCGTCGCTCTGCTGCTTCCCCAGCATGCCCACGAACAGCTTCCTGTCCTCTGAGGAGAGACATGAAGACAGAAACATCTGCTTCAGTTCCCTAAAACCAGAGGATCCTCCTTCATAAAGGTGGTGGAGCTACCGCGGGTCTCCACCAGGGGGCAGTGTTGCCTACAGAGAGTACTCGAGTAAACCTGCCAAACACCCCGCTGACTGTTTTCCTCTCTGTCTGATCCGAGCCGACACCTCCTCTTCTATCCGTCACACTGTGTGAGTGTGACTACAGTCTAAACCCACTGAACTGAGCACGTTGTCCTCGTCTGGCCCAACCTCCAGGTTCACGGTGCGATTAGCAAAGGGTTAAATTAGGATTTGTGAGGAGGGGAAGCTGTTGTTCAGGAGGACGGTTCTCAAAGGTCACACTGCAGACAGGAGGAACAGGGACTACTTCTTCAGTGGAAAGTAGATCCAGTGAAAGCGGCCACACTGTGTTCAGTGTTTATTTAATAAAAGACTGAATTCCTGGGTTGTGTTGGTGGAAGCTCACGTTCAAGCAGATTCCTCTCATTCTGCTTCTATTTGTTTTTCTCTTTATAATTAAAACAAAGCAGCATTTTAAATCAATCTAAAGAAAAAACATCCTGTCAGTTAATCTTAATTTTTATTTTGAATCATTATTCTTGATCAGTATTTGCAGTGAGCGACTCAGCAGGTATCTTAGAGGCTGACAGACTGACGATGTGGTTTAGCAGCAACACATAACTGATGAATCTCTGCAATCATCACCTTCAGCTTTAT